TTGTTATCAAATTCCCTTTTAAATTGCGGAAGCTTTTACCACTGCAGAGATTTGTTCACCACCATGAATGTTATAAGTTCCGCAAAATAGTTTTATAGAAAATAATATTCGAGAATACTAAAACTCAGACTAAGGCGCTTAAGAATATTCCAACAACGTGCAAAAGAAAGACAAAAATGGATTACACTTTGACCCGTATTTTTCATTAACATCGAAATTATGATTGGACACACTCAAGTTCGCGACAAGTTGTAATTTATTTTAGAGCCATAAATTTCCCATCGCGCTATCATAAATTGTCTCGTTTCGTTAAAAGCAAGATTAAGAGTGTCTTCAGATCGGTACGGTAAATCATTGTCGATTCTAATGGCGGCCTATAAATGCGGATAGACCCCTTGGTATTGATATTTATTAACGGAATAATAAAACGGCTAAGCTCGAATCTGTGTATGTACCGACTAGTTTTGGACCTATCGGAGCTTCGGGGTGAGTGGAATGAGTTCTTAATGTATATATTTAATTTAATTATTTAATACTTATTTGTTTATAAGGTTGTATTTATGACATAACTATGTAATATATCTCTATACATTTATATTACTGAAAGGTGTTTTTTTTTGGTACGCAAAAGAATTCGGTAAAGAATAAAATAAATAAATAGAAACAAAATCCGTACGAGTTTTAACTATAGTTGAACCCATTGAGACACTTCAGTATTACTTCATTTAAGCCCCAATATTAAGACTTATAACTATAAGATCATTATATCATCAGCAATCATAAAAGACAAGACTGATGACATATTGGCATAGATGAGTACCATAAATGACTGAAAATGACGGATCTCGCAATTAGCATCACGTGATTTGTGATTGTAATCCAAACAATTTCATCCAAAAGGATGATAAAAACTGAAGGCATTAGAAATTATTGTTAAAGTTGCATCTGCTGATGCACAAAGGTGGTAATGGACTGCAGGATAAATAGCTCTTTACAGTTTTTTGACAAAAAGTCTGTGTCGCATATGCGGTAAAACTATCACCAAGCAACGGCTTGGTGATAGTTTTATCACCTTCGTATCGGACTAAATAAGATGCTTTAACGTAGAAAAAAATATTTTGTCCATTCTTTTAGAGTTAAAAAGATCAATGTTAATAGTATACGAATTATGGAGTAATGAATAAACTGTCCAGCGAAAAACAAGATATTATGTAATATTTAAAAGAAAAACGGTCTCGTTTCAAGCCACAGACAAGGGCTTGTTTAATATTGTATGCCTTCACTATATCTATACTGGATAGGACAGCTCGGCGCGGAGTGTTCGATATTGGCAAAGTTTGCACTCTTATTTGCTGAAACTTGTTTAGAAACACCGTGGATGGCCGCTTGTGCCGAGATAAGGACTTTTTAAATTTTTATACATTGTCAAAAGGCGAGCACAGATTCATTTTAAAACTTCAGCTCGCGACATAAAAAAGTTTGCAGACGCTTTTTCTACTAACAAAAGCTTTTGGTCAGGTTTTAGGTAAAGACGCGTATATTGATAAATATCATCAGTTATTCGCACACCAACTACGCTCTCTCATATAGAAATCCAAATGGAATGAAGCATAAAGGAATGAGAGTTCTACAATAGTTGGTACACGATAAAAATATATTTAATAACATAGAAAAAAAGATCGTGGTTAACAAAGTTAAGATAAAAGTTATTTCCCAGTTTATTCACCAGAATCGACAAACAGTAGATGTTCTCTTTTAAGCTGTTTGAGCCATAGGAGTTTTCCTTCTCTACCCCACGTCATCGACGAATGAAGAGTATAGAAATATAAAGGACAGAACGGAAGTGATTTCACGGCTTTATACGTTTAGCCTACAACCTGTGAGATAGCCGAAGAGGGGCGTTGAAGTGCAAAATTAAAAATTCCTTTGTCTAGAAAAACCTTTAAAATGAAAATGGCGTCTCATTGTCTAAGAACTGGAGGCACTTAAATTGCAACGTCGCAGATCGTTCCCGCCAACGCAGCGCCTCTTTGAGCTTTTTCCACGTAACGGAACGAAGCGAAATATGTCGCATGACTTTAGAGAAATTCAAATAAACATCACTTAATATTCCCTCGTTACACTTTATGAATCCGAGTTGAAACGACATTGCCTTCTCGAGCGTTTGTTTAATTATGATAGTAATGTCGAATATTTATTTGTTTTGCTTTTTGATTTTATTGTTTTCATTCAATGGATATAGATATAGAACACCTTGAGATGACTCTTGTAATTATTTCAAGAAAATAAATGTTACGACTCTGTATTTAGATATATGTAATAAAACTGAATCTGTCTCTGAAAATAAGGTGCGAATGCGACGATAAGTAGTTTTAAACTATGGAACAGTGCGGAGAGATGGAAATGGGGGGGTGGTAGTATGAAACAAGCGATTCAAAGTGGTCCGCCCCCCCCCCCCCCCCCCCATCACTTTCCTTTTTATGCAAATGTATGTAGATTCCTTGCTAAAGTAGTGGTACTTGGCAGTCTGACAACGAAGCATCGTTAAGTTCGTAGGGCTGCCAATTTCTAAGTTTACCACGTCATTAATATTAAGTTACGGCTATGCGCATATTTAATATACGAAGCCCCCTTTTCATATGCAGAGCAAACTTGAAGGGGCCTAATACATTTGTAGTGTCTCTAGCGAATTTCTTAATATGTTGGCGATGGTCTCCAACCGTTCATTTTGGGTCCTTCTGTGCTTACTATAAAACAAGTGTAGTTCGCAGCACAGGTCAAACCTTAATAATCCGGCATTTGAACACACGAACAAGGGACTGTAAGGAAACAAGTTTTCACATATGTCTTACGGTTATTTTTAAACGTCTTTTAAATAAGCTGTCTTGGTAGTGTTTTTAATATAAATGTTTATTTTAAGATTTTTTTCTGTATAAATAACTATAAAATTGTAAATAATATTCAAGGGTTGGTATATACACTTGTACACTGTTTACACATGTAAAATTTTCACATACATGCAGAAACACGTGTCGATATCGGTGTCGGCAGCTCCTTCAGATAATATTCTAATTAATTCGCGAGTGGGCAGCCCTGAAGAGGCTGCAGCCAAGACGTGGTAGCCCTCGAAGCCTCGTTCACTCGACACTTTTCACTTGCGCCAGCCACGCTTGAAATTAAAAGCCTCGGCTTGAAAATGATTGCGATGCATTTTCGCGGAGAAGATCTGAATTGACCCGCATGCCATCAGTTCAAGAAGCGTTCTCAGAATCAAATATTTTGCAAATCATCCCGATCGTGATATCAGTTAATATGCCGTGATAAGAGGGCTGATCATTTTCTCGCTCAGAGGTTAAGCATAGTTATTCAGCGAGGAAATGTAGCTAGCGTTCTTGGCACCATACCGCGTAGACTAGGTTTATTAGATAATATGTAATTTAGTTATATTTAATGTTGTAAATATTGGATATGTTAAAGTTCTTAATAGTCCCATAATGTAGTAAACAATTAATAACGCTATGAAATTGAGTTGAGACGAAGTATTCTCTGTATTGAACTAAAAATGTTATTATGTTAGGGGCTATTTTCTTCTAAGTCCCCAAATAAATAAATATTCAAAAAAGAACATTTTTTTTGAATATTTATTTATAATATATAGTAATCATTATGAACCTGATTTGTATTGATATAAATTGACTGATATGTATACGAAGACATATGGTAAAGAACATAAATTGGACAACTTTATTGAACAATATTAGTGTATGTAAAGTTTTTGAATAAATGCTTCACAACTTTTTTCTCTCATTTCTCACATTTGATTTGATAACAAAAAATCATGTGTATTTGTTTAAACATTATCAACATATACGTATTACAGAGGGAACATTTACAACAAATTATAATCATTAACATGGAATATATACAACTGTATACAGTTAATATATTCTTTTGGAGTAATTTTCAAAGGATCATTGAACGAATTTTTCTTAACTTACTGTTTTATTCACTTGTTATTTGTTAATACTCGTATTGCTATTGTTTTGATTAGCTTTATTAGTTTGGTCCGTTTTGAACGTTTGCCAAGGCAAGAGAGCAAATCATTTCCTCGTGAGCACAAACGTCAACAGACTGCAACGAGATACGGAATAACATTTATTAGAGGAGAAACCTCTGGGAAATGAAGAGCTGAGATTATTCAGTCCGCAGGGAAGATACGTAGTAATGTAAACCAGGTTAGTAATATTGCCATTGCAGTTTAATGTAACTGATGCTGTAGTCTTTTATAAACAACTAGTTGACCCCTGCTATCATTCATAAGTAGGTATTTAATAATGAAATGTCTTGTGAGTCTAGTTCGCTATTTTTTTTTAGATATGGAACTGAAAATGGCATACTTGTAAGTGGCGATGCAACCGTTCCACCGCCGGCCCACGGACAATTGAAGAAAGCCGCTTCGTGATGTTAAGCTCTTTTAATATCTAGTCGTTAGTTCTCATTGTTATATGGCATTATCTTAGCTATATCTTTTAGTTGTTGCCGCACTAGATCAACTTTGTATCTCAGGAATAGGATGTTTGGATTAAAGAAAAATAAATTACGCCTGGTAGCAACTAGTCTACGTGTGAATTATGAGATAGTACTCTCTGTTCTTTATAGGGAACAGTATAGGAGGAAGTAGAGCAAGAAGTTTTCAGAATAGCTTAACTCATATATTTATACAATATTCTTTCCTTTGTTCTATATTTTAACTCCATTTATAGCCTTAGTTTTAAGAAGATCTGTACACGTAATATTAAGAGATAATTTATGAAATCTCGTGAACATAACTTTTTTTAAAACAATCGGGGAGATTAATTATAAAGAAAAACGCCACCATTCCTCTTCTTTAATAGCAAAGTGTCATTAACTTTGGGGGCGCGCGGGCCTCTGGCGCGGCAAACAGAATTATCAAAGTTCAGCGGGAAAAAAGCGGCCTACTCCCGGCCTCGGGCAATCTACGAATAGATCCCGTACGGACATGATAAATGGATGGAAACGGAGCGGGGGGCGTCGCGGTAACCATTTGTCTCCTCGAATACAAGGAAGAGGAAAAATTCGGCCGTATTTACATAATACGCGTGAGCCCAAACAACCACGCGGAACTTAAAGGCCTTCAACGCGTACTTGGCGCTAGTTGCGTCATCTGTTAAGAACATATTCGAGTATAGTGAGAACCCGCACAAGCGGTTGCGCTATACTCATATGAGAAGTTTCCAGAATAGTTAAACTCTGCCTCAGTTTAGTCCGCTGGGCCTGCAGCATAACTGTTACGTTCAGGGACGCTTGAAAGACGGTTTTGTGTTAAGCATCTTGTGCACTACTATGTCTATATTTCCCAATCTGACTTGACATTAAATCAGGGAACAGTGAAGAACAAAATATTTAGAAGACAGAATTATTAGCGCCAGGCCTTTGCAAGCTATAGCTGCTTTAGACTACTTATGATCACGTTGACACAAATTATGTATTATATATTATTTTATATATAGTATATTTATAAATTGCGACATGAAAACATTTCGTTTCATTACACTCGCGTGTTCTCGTCAAACCTTGCCCTATTGAAAGGATAATCAATAACATACAGGGTAAACGAATGTCAGGGTATTACGAACAAATATTAAATACGATACGTAGACTGGGTATTTTTATAAGACATATATATATAATCATTTCTATAGTACCTATATATACAGTTAGCAGAGAGATTTAATGTGTATTTGATATCCATTATATCTGGACGTCAAACATTTGCTGGAGTTACTCAAACTGACGTTGACTGGTATAGTACCACGTGTTTTGCTCTAAACATTAATAGTAACAAATATTTAATGCGACGAACTACACGAGCTACACACATGTCTATTATATTTCAAACTAGCTGTGCCCGTGACTTCGTCCGCTTATAATTATAAAATAGATATTAATAAAAATAAATAACATTTCTCAAATAAAAGTAGTCTAAGTTACTCCTTATTACATCCGCTATATATTAGTAAAAGTCCCGTCAAAATTGGTCCAGCCGTTTCAGAGATTAGGCGGAAACAAACAGACAGACAGACAGACAAAAATTGTACACATCGATATGCATTTAATAAAAAGCGGTTATTTGAATATTACAAATAGAAACTCCAATTTTATTTATGTGTATAGATACGGTGTTAAGCGCTGTGAACGTGTAATGTATTATCGATTCCCCAACAACGCGGGAGAATGTGCGTTTGTCACGCACAAGTTGGAAACCATCTAAGTATCCCCGGCCTGGAAGTTTCCGAGGGTGGGTCGGTGGAGTTCGCTATCTAACGTGATATGTAAACTTCGCATGGAGCGGGATATGATTGATGGAGCAGTTTTGATTGTGGAAACTTGTGTGCGGGTGACGCTGTGCGCAATTACAAGTTCGACATTAAAATTTTGCCTATGTCACCTATATAATACGAGTAGCTCAGTATGGGATATTTGCTAATTGTATTACGAGACAAGACGACTTCGTCAAGGTCGCTAAGTAATTGGCTTCGGCATCGGTGGACCCACAGATAATTGTCCTGGATCTGGGTGTTTGTATCCCAAGTAGGCTTGGCGTCAGGCAGGCGGCCAGTCGTAAAAAAACATAGCCGAAAACGCTTACGACATGAGTCACATATTGTGCCGACCGCACGTATGTGGGAAAAGGCGGGCGAGGATGATGATGAAGACAAGCTTTGAATTTTTATCTTCTCTTCATAAGTTCATTTTACGTGAAAAGTTGTCAGTTCTTCATTAGTTCATTTTATGTGAAAAGTTGTGAGGCGAGCAGGCACTTCACCTGATGTTAAGTGATTAACACTGCCCATGGACATCTACAACACCTGAGGGATGCGCCAGTGGCCAGATAAAACGCGAAAATATTATACCACCACTTCACGTCGGCATTCTGTGAGGTCATGGTACTTTCCCGGACGAGCCTGCCCATTTGTCCAACATGCTGCTGCGTTACCACAGATACTTATGTCATATCACTCATGGACTGGGTTGTATTTTACTTTTTACTTAATTTTTTTTCGTGGTATCACTATCTGTTAACATTATTATAAAAAAAAATCTTTAGTATGTTATTTTTCGACTGCCAATACTAATGTGTACACATTGTATATTATATTTTTAATAAAAAAAATGTCTAGTATTTTGGTTTTAAATTCCGTTTTCGTCACAAATTCGCATCTATGTTAAGAGCCCCAAAGACAATACCGAACAGCGTAAACGATTCAAAGAAGTTTCGAGGACTGAAACGTTCTTTTCTTTTCAGTTTCTTTTCTCGCCGGTTTATATTTAAAAGTTTCACACCGACGGCGAATTTATATACAGGGATGTTTTAACGTTAGTTCCTTAGACGTAGTTGCAATTCTATGCGGTATTTCTCTTCGCCCATTGAGCCATTAAAAAACTCCTTCTTAAAACCCGCTTTCGTCATCTCTCGTCAACTGACAGTACAGTAAAGATCGTAACAAGGAAAAAAATACAAATTCCAGAAAAGTTTCATAACGAAGAAGTTCCCACTTTGAATTTGGATACACATTTTCTACATTTTACAGGTTTCTTAAGCTTAAATTTCACGAAAAAATTAACCTGTATAATAACTTATCACTCAATCCAAGAAATATCAAATTAAGGTCTAATAATATAAAATTTTGATTAAAATATTGCTACAATTTACACGTAACTTTCAATTTCTGACTTTCTCTATAAGAACGAACACATTACAATATTTGTATTGTGGTTTTTCGATATACGTTTTAAATTTTTTAAACAATTTTAGTTTACGCAGTTTTGACTGGATGGATTGGTGACGACCCGATTGGCGCAGTAGGTAGTGAAGCTGTCTCATGTGCAATAGGTTGTGGGTTAGATTCTCACCGCTGGGAAAAATTGTGTGATGAACATAGTGTTTCCAGTGTCTAGTGTTTCCACGTGTATGTATTTGTACAAGAAAAGTATGTTTAAGTATTTTTATCAGTTCTCTAGAACCAATAGTAAAATTGCTCAGTTTGGGACCAGAGAACGTTGTGTAAAAGTGTGTCCTAATTATTTATTTATTTGAAATATTTATTATTGAGACGATATGTATTATTCGATATATCAGATTAGTTCGATATATTAGATGTAGTTAGACGAGCTTGGTTTAACCGGCGGTTGTCGTGAATATCACCTACTTGCGACACTCCGGGCTCGCCTGATGCCGTGTAATGGGGTGCTTTGTCATTTTAATCACGTCCCAGGGCTCGGGGCCTCTCCACTCTTCCACGGAATTAATTGGATTTCGCGGATCGCTATCTCTTATCGCTCGCCGTGAATGACAATATTTTAATTATATTACAGAGCAGTTTGGAGTTCGGTCAAACCGCACCAATGTAATGTCATCGCTATTGTGACCAGGATTTGGTGTTTTAAAGCAAAATTTTACATTTTATTACTTGCTTTCGAAATTTAGAACGCAATTAATAATAATAATAAAACCATTTAATCAGCTCAACAAACAACACTGGCAAAAAATAAACAATCAACATGTACATATGTAGAAAAAAAATTATGTTAGAGAAAAAAAAAAGAAGAAAAACTATAATATTCAAGAAAAAATATAAACTATGTGCAGAAAATGTGAGCGTTGCAATGGTGAGTTGATAGGGTCAGCTGCTCAGCATAAGCTGACATTAAGCTCCCCCATTGGGATGACCAGCGCTGGTATTCTACAGAAACCCGTGGGTGTTTACGCGTCGGTCAGTGTAGAGAAGGCATAAATAAAATTGAATATTATTCATTTCCAGGGCGAACAATGTAACGAAGGCATAAATAAAATTGAATTGTATGTAAGAAGTGTATAATTAATAATCAATAATCAATAATGCGGTAACCACGATTTTTACATAAAATCTTAAAGTGAACATATAATATAACCTAGTTATTTCTTATGGGAGGGAGTCTTACTTGTTTTTTCTAAGGTATCTTTTTTGGATTCCCATAAGAAAAAGTCTGATTTTAAATCTAAACGGTGATTTCGCGAGTTTGCGCGTTCCTAATTGGTGGTGGGATGTTATTCCAGCATTTGGTTGCTGCATATCGAAAGCTGCCTCTAAACATAGCGGATCTATGTCGCGGTATTATTAGGTGGCGACTGCGATTACCGCTGATGTTCCCTCTACTCCATTCTAATTTGCTGCTTAGATAATTAGGGGTCTGCGATCTCAAAATACCAAAAAGTAGACATGCTAAATGGTGTTTTCTGCGGTGTCTCATGTTTAAAATGTTGCGTTGATTCAAAAAAGGTGTTACGCGACTACGGGGTGGAATTCTAAAACAAAAACGAGCGCAAGCATTTTCTACCCGTTGAATCAAATATTTTGTTAGTTCGTTCGTTCGGTCTTGCGTTTTTTTCCAATCCAATCAAACTTTTGCAGTCCACTGCTGGACATAGGCCAGCAGTTCCCAAGGGCACGCCACAGAGCGCGATCTTCAGCTTTCCTCATCCAGCCACTACCAGCGACCTTTCTCAGGTTATCGGTCCACCTGACAGAGGGACGTACGACACTGCGTTTCCCGAGACGTGGTCTCCATTCAAGAACCCGTCTTCTCCAACGCTCATCGGTTCTGGGACAGGTGTGTCTGTTGCTTTTTTTCAATTTCCAACAATGGAAATAAATTCAATAAAATAGTGTTCAAAATAAGAATTTTGTTTATTAAAAGATTTTACTTCAGATAACTTCATGCAACATTACTTATCTGAATGCACATAAAGGTAAACAGAATAAATTAGAATAGACGCAGTCAACTTTTTCAGTTATTGTTCAGCAGTCCGATGGAGTTTTAAAAACAAAATAGGTCAGGCAAACAGCGAATGCCGGTTATTTTTATTGTTATTATTATTATTGGTTTTATAATATTCGTTATTAATGTATTAGGAGATAGATTGCTATGATTAATTTATTTCCATATTTATTTTTATTTTATTTTAAGACTTCATGCACATAACTCTGTACATAGGCGGACTTAATGCTGTCAGCATTTTCTACCAGTCAACCTTAAGGTGGTACCGAGATTTTGAGGTAGGTGCACAAACATTTAAAATATAAATATTATACTAATTACATATTCCCTCATTGATATCGATAAATTATAATCATTG